TATATATATATATATATATATATATATAGAATATGTATACAATTTAGATAAGAATGAAATATAAATAATGAAATAGGCATGTAAAGTTAATCATTATCATTTAGTTAAAATATTCTTAATTCTTTTTAAATAAATAAATATCAATTTTGATTGGTTTGAAATTTATATTGAAGAAAATCTCATAATATCTTTAAAATTAGAATTAATAATTGGTTATACTATTGGAAAGTTATTTCTGAATGTTAAATAAATATCATATTATTATGCAACATTAAGAATATGAAATTTTACTATAAAATAATATGAACACAGAATAGTAATCCGATTTTTAGTGAATCATTGAACGTGAATGGGAAAAGTACTCCCCTTGTAATGACGTATGTATATTACTCGAAAAAAATTATTACATGAAGATGTTCCAAATACATGTTTTGGCGGTTAATGGTCACAATATTTAAATGATATTATAATAAAAATACAATACATCACATCAATATAAAAAGAGATATGATAAAATAATAATATATGCGATCTAATAGATACAAAATTCGTTTAACTGCGATGCTTAAAAACCTGTCAACATGCGATCTTACGATCGAATGAGATTTAGAATTAGAATTAAACAAGGGCTCTACAAGATATACATGACGTTCATTTAAAGATATGAACAATAATCAACAAAATAATAAAATATTAATTGTAAATTGCGTTACCTTGAAATAGATAGAAAATAGTAGGTGAAATTCCTCTTGACCAGTACTTCACACAAAGAAAATGGCGTGTTATGAAATCACGAGTATGACAACGATGTCGTCACCTGTTCTTTGCTTCTTTTATCGACCGAGTATGATCACATTTCGACTGTCAAAATCGATTTAATATTCGATATATTTATATTTAATTAAAAAAACCGCCAATTTTTAAAAATATTATTTTATTATCTTAATTAAATTAATTAAATTATTATATCAAAAAGAATACAATAAAGAATAGAGTGCAAATTTATAATACTAATAGATCAAATGTTTCATTAAAATTATAATATATTTATAAAATATAAACTTTAATTTTATTTTTAATTACAAATATAATAAATATAATTATTATTGGAAGATTTATTGAAAAACATATCTTCTTTTTGATATTCTGTTTTCAGTAAAATCGTCATCTTCAATGTTTCTTTTTTTATTATAAATTTGTTTATTATGTATTTTCCCTCCTAAATTTATTTCGTATTGTAATTTATCTCGTAAAGAATGTTCATCGACTTCTTCATCAGATTCTTCTTTTATATCATTTGATGCAAAATGATATTGATTCTCTACTAAACAATATTTAATTGTTGAATAACCACTAAAAATATACAATTTTTTTTAAATTAAATAAGAAAGTGTATATGTATATATGCACATGTACATGTGTATGTATTTATTATAGACATACGTTTGTTTACGATAAAGTTGATAAAAGCCTTTATTACTGCTTAATTCAGCTAATTTGAATAAAAATTTTTCATCATGACTAATTACAATCAATTGAAAATTTTTCTGAGGTGATCGTAATTTAACAACCCTTTAACATAAAAATAACTTTCATTAAAATTTCAGAGTAAATGACAAAAATCTAAATATAATTTAAATAAAAAATTGCTGAACATACGTAGCCAATGTATTTGCTAGACTATCAGCATTTTCTTGATCTAAATTTGTCGTTGGTTCATCCAGTGCGAGAATTCCGCAATCTTTACAAAATGTTTCTGCTAAAGCAAGTCTTATAATTATTGATGCCAAAACCTATATATAAATGATAATATATATATATATAAATAATAAAGTTTATTGGTAAGTTTGATAATATTACTATAAATTAAAATTACTTTTTGACCAGCACTACAACGACCTTTCATATCTATTTCATGACCATGTTTCATTTGAACTAATTTATAATTATATGTTCTTTTTGTACCACCTATTCCTTCAGTTGCATCTGTACGAATTTCTATAGAAGTTGTATCTGTTCCAGTATATACAAGTTTCCATAATTGTTTTATGATTCTATTAACTGTGGCCATACGTTCTTCATGATATTGTATCATAGCTGTATCCAATACTTTGCTATATTCCTTTAAATTTAATATAGATTCTTCTACAACCTAATTCAAAAGAAAATTATTAAAAATTTCCGTTAATAATAAAATAAAAAATTCTTACCGTTAATTCGATACATTTGCTTTTGTAATTTTTACGAGCTTGTTTATATATATCTTTTTTCAATTCTTGAACATATTGTTGTACTGTTCTTTCTAATTCTTCTTGATTACCTTTGATCATATTTTTCTAAAAACATTTAGAATATTTTTAATTAAATTTATATATTAATATATTATAATTAATTCAAAGTAATTGATTTTTTAAGAAAATTTATAAACAATTAAAATGCAATAAATATAAATAGTAAGTATTAATTACATGAAATCGAATGATTATATAAAATTTCTATTATTATTTCTATTATTATTTCTGTAATATAATAAAATATTATACCTGTCGAAGTATAGTTTGCTCTCGATTTTGTAAATTTTGCCATTCATCAAATATTTCAGAATAATTTATAGTATTTAATTTTTCTTTTATATTTGAATATTGTTCTTGTAAATTGTTAATAATTTCCTGAATTTCGCGAAGTTTAAGATTATCTGACAATTCTCTTTTTCGTACTTCTTGACGAGTCATTTCTTCTTTTAATTTATTAATTGTTGTTTCCATATCATTTTTTTTACAAAATAATTCATTAAGTAATTTCTCATAACTTTTTATTTTTGATTCAGAACATTCCAAAGATTCGGGAATTTTACGATATATAAAGCTATCAACATCATCCTGCATTTTCTGTAAATCAGATAAACGTCTACTTCCTTCTGTTATTAATTTTCTATCGGTTTCTTGTTTTTCCCAATTATCTTTCTAAAATAAAAAAAGTTACAATGTATTTTTTATATTATAATTTAATAAAAATTTAATATTTTCATAAAAAAATAATTTCAAAATATAAAAATTTTTATTTATGTTACATGAAAAATACTTTTTTTTTTTCCAATTTATCAAGTCCAGAATTTAATTCAGTTTCTGATAAAGTTACTTTTTCTCTTAATGTATCAATTGATTTTCCAAGAGAAATTTCTTTCAAATATAAAATTTCTTGATTATCCTTCAATTCTTTCAATTTTTGCATATCTAATTGTATTTTTAACTGCTCTTTGTGTAATGTATTCTGTTCCTGTTCACTATTATATAATTTTTCATTATGCATATTTATTTCAAATTGTAATCTTTCAATATTCTCACGAATCTTTTTTAAAGATATTTTCAATTCTTCTCTTTCAGTTTGAGCTTCTTGAAGACTACGTTTTGTTTTAATACCTACATATATAAATAAAATATTTATATTCTAAAAAATGAATAAATAGATAATAAATAAATAATCAATAAATAATAAATAATACTAAAATATCAATAAAATTAATTCAATATAAAATACCTGCAGCAGTCATACGAATATGAAAATTATCAATTATTTGTTTTAGTTTAAAAATATCATCAATGTAAGTATCCCATAACATAACATCACCTATAATATCTTTACACATTACTAATTTTTTTTCAGGATTAGATTTTTTTGTTTTTAATTCTATTGCAATTGTTCGAGATTCATTCAATTTATTCTTGAACTTTTCTAAATTATTCCTAAAAAATTTTATAATATATATATATATATATATATAGATAGATAGATATTTATAATAAAAAATATATAACAAATAAATTTACGTTAATTTTTCTAATTCAATTTCTTCTAATTGTATTATTCTTTCAACGACAGGTTTTAGTTGTAGCATCTTATCATATTTTTCTTGTTGTACTTTCAATTCTTTTTCACATTCTTTCAAACGATTTGGATGATTTTCTATTTCAGTTTCCATTTCTTTTAATAAAGTTGTAATAGTTTCAATTTTATCAAAACCTCTGTGACATAAAGGACAACAAGGATTTGTGTTTCTTAATTGTTTCATATATTCTTTGTAAGCTGCACTTTGATGAGCATACATTCCCCTTTTATCTTGAAGATCTTTTACTTTCTTTGATTGCAATAATAATACTTCATCAAAATTTTTATAAGAACAAATTAATGAAATTTTTTCTTTATTCACTAAAAAAATATAATTTATTGTTAGTAATAAGTTTAATAAGATTTTAATATAAATAATAAATTTTTAATTATTAAATTTTAAACTCACAATTTATTTCTTTCTTCTTGTTTTGAAGTTCATGTTCAATATGTGATATTGTTGTTTCTAATGTAGCTATTTGATGTTCTTCTGTTCGAATTTTTTGATTTATAGATTCTATTTCATTTATCTAAAATTAATAAAATTAAAAAAATTAATAAAATAAATATGTATTTTTATTATGATTATATCTGTTTTTAAATACCAATTCTTCTTGAACCATGTCAAAATTATTTTTTAATTTGATTTGAGATAGATCTTTGATATCAAGTAAAGAAATTATTTTTTCTTCATGTTTCTTTTTCAATTTTTCTATTTCTTTTTCTTTAATAATCAATGTAGATTTATTTAACTCTAATTCAGCTTGTAGTGAACTTTGTTTCAATAATAAATTTATTTCTTCATCAATTGTATTTAAAAGTGTGTCTGTTTCATCTCGAATTTTAATCTTATCAGCAATTTCTTTCTTCATAGTATCCATATCTATTGCATCATTTAATTGTTGAATTCTTATTTGTACTTTTTGTAATTTTGATTCAATAAAATTCAACTTATTTGATTCTGCACTAAGCTAAAAATAAAACATCTCAAATAAATTTAAAATATAAATAAAACATTTTAACAAAAAAATATACAACCTGCATAATATCCAATTTTATTTTATCAATTTCTTTTCTTGTTTCAATTATTTCATTTTCTTCATGATTTTTTTCTGTATCTAATTTTAAATATTTACTATGTAAAATATCAACTGTTTTTTGCAATTCTTTTTCTTCTTCTCCTCTTTTTATTTTATTTTCTTCTAATTTATGCTCTAGCTCCCTCATTTTTTCTTGTAGTCTTTTAGTAAAAGCTATTACTTCTAAAAAATTTTAAATGTTATATGAAATTTATATTTATATATGAATTTAAATATAAGTGAATATAATAAATAAGTAAATATAAGTTATGATTTTATTTTTTTTTTAAATTCACACCTAATTCTGATACATTTGAATCAACAATATTAAGATTCCAGGAAGATAATGATTCATTTAATATTTGATTGCGAAGAATAACTTTTTTCTCATGATCTTTAATTTGTTGTCTCAAAGAACCATTAGTTACTCTTTCATTGGCTAATTTATTTGATATTGTAGATTCTTTTTCAGCAATATCTTTTAATTTCTTTTTAAACTAGAGAAATATAATATAATATAAAGAATTAAATTATATTATATAATATTCAATATTTTTTTTAGTTTAATTATATTTAATAATAAATATATATATATATTTACCTCATCAATTTCATTAATTTTTCCAATTAATTCTTCATCATATGATTCTATTTCTTTTAATAATTTTTCTGTAGTACCTTCAAATATATTCTGCAAATCTTCTTTTAAACTATCCAATTGTTGTTTAAACATATCATATTCTGCTTTTTTCCTCTCTAAATAAAAATCATATATATATGTATAAAAGTAATTAATTATAATATTAATTACTAATTTAAAATTTAACTTATTAATTTACTTTATTAATTAATAATAAAAATAATATTAAAATATTACTTTGTTCATTTTGTAGATCTTTATATTCAACATCTATTTTTTCCAATTTTTTAATTTTCTGAATCACAGGTTCTAATTCCTTATTAAATTCTTCAATTTTAATTTTAGAATTTTCTAACCGTTTTTTATTATCTTCAAGTTTTGTTTCTTTATCTATTACTTCATTAACAATAAGTTGATAATTTTGTTTTTGTTCTTTCAATATATTGACTCTTTGTTTCAAATCTTTAATTAATTTCATAATACTTTCAAGAGCTTTATTAAACTTAGCACTATCAAAGATTTCATCAAATCTTTCTTTTAATTTTTTACCATCTTGAAAAGGCCAGCTAAGATCTTCTTGATGACAGAAAATTACGTAATCTAAAATAGGTTTAGAAACTCCCATTGCTAATGTAAGTTCTGTATCAACATTAGTACATCGATTAGTTATTGATATGACCTATATAAATAAAGAATTATAAATATAAAAATTTATATATAAATTATATACAAATATATATTTATTTTCTATCTTTTATTAAAATATACCTCTTTAGTATCTTTATTTACTCTACTTAAAGCACTATCAAGAGTTTTAAATCTTGTCACATTAGCTTTTGTACTTTCTATTGTTCTACATATTGTATATGTATTACCTAATACATCAATTATTTCAGCTCTTATAACACCTCGAACCTATGTGAAAAAAAAAAAATAATTGAATATCAAGAAATATATTTTTTAAAAAAAATTATTTAAGAAAAATTTTAATTTTGAAATTAATTACAAATAAAAATATATATAATAATAAAAGATTTATCATACTGATGAAGTTGTTGATAAAGTCGGATCATGTATAAAAGATTTTCCGCGATCTGAGCCAGGTGGAAATTCACCACAAGTAGCGAATTTGAGAGCTTCAATAATTGTTGTTTTTCCAGTACCATTTGGACCAAGAATAAGTGTTAAAGGACGAGAAAATCTAATCAAAGCTTCTTCTTTCTCATCACCAAAATTACGAATACCACGAATAGAAAGTCTTCTTATTCGTGACATCTTTCAAGAAATTAAATCAAAAATATGTATTTTATAAAATATTAATATCATTAAGCACTATAATCATCGACAACTTAAAATATTATAACTGTCGTAACTATAACTTTAAATGTTGAAGTAGTATTAGGATGTCAGTTTCGCCAACTTAGATTTGAATTTTTTTAAAAATTTATAGAAGAGAAAAATTAAAATTCCGCAAAATTCTATAAATTTTTATTTGAGAAATATATAAAAAAATTATAGATTTTTTTATGTAAATCATAAATCCAAAAATTTATGATTAAACTTTAAATTTCATTTTAAGCATCAAAAATTATTAATTTTTTTTGTATCTTTTAATAATTTTTATGAATAAAAATATTAATTTTAAGTTTAGGAATCTATTGGCTTAAAAACTATTCTTATATAAAATTAATATTTTTTAAACATATTTAACGCCATATTTATATTTATAATTTATTCAATAAACAGAACTATTGTATGCAAGTAATGACTATTTAAATACGTTTAATTATTACATATATAAAATTATATAAATTATTATTAATTTAATTAAGTCAAAATCTATACTGAAATTATTGCAATCATGAATTTTTTTGTAATAAATAAATTTTTAATAAATTGTTTTTAATAAATATATATATATATATATATATATATATATATATATATATATAAACTTATTAATCATTTATTTCATTTTCATTTAATTTTTTTTTTAAATCATATATAAATAACTTATAATTTTCTTCTATAATCTTTATTTTATGGCAAATGTATATATTAGCACATTTTGATAAAATCAAGAATTTTATACTTAAATTATTTTTTAAATTGGTTTCTATTAAATTAGAAAAAAATTGAAAAAATTTTTTTTATTAAATTAGAAGAAAATAAATATTGAATTGATATCGTTATAATAAAATAATTAATTTGTTAAATATTAATCATAAGTTATAATCAGGGTTGCCAGTTTACTTTATTATAATCATATTTAGATAGAATATGAATTATTACTTAAAGATTTCAATAAAAATCTAAAAATAGAAAGAATAAAAAAATAACATATTAATAAAATTTTCTAACAAATATATATTTAATTGATAATAAAATGTTCTTATTACAAAAAATTTTAAATATAAAAAAAAATAAAAAAAAAATAAAATTTTGCATTTTTTAAAAATAATACTTTAAGTATTTCCATTTTTATTATATATTAATTTTATTATTACATTAATTATTGTTCTTATTATCTTATTATAATAAAAAACTATAATAATAATTTTCTAATAATTTTCTATTAACAAAATATTCTAGCGAAATATCTCTTTAAAATTTATTAAAACTTTATAAGCTATAATCAAAAAGGTGGCAATCCTACTTATAAATATAGTTCTATATATATATATATATATATATATATATATATAAGTATATGTTTTTACGGTCGAAATGATTTATTATAGAATATAAAACAAAACATGTATATAATTTTAAGTCGTAGTGTATATAATACAACACAATTTTTATGTTCATTCAAAGGAATAAATAAAATATTTCTTGTAATTAATTCAAAAGTATATAATAAATATTATACTTTTTATAATAAATCGCATATATTACAAAATAATTCATGGAAAGTATTATTTTTTGGTACAGATGAATTTGCAGTTGAAAGTTTGAAAATCTTGTATGATAAATAGTAAGAAAAATTTTGTTATTTTAATATTATAAATTCTTAATAATTTGAAATAAGTTTTAAAATATATATTTATTTATAGTAAATCTAAAGAGCTAGAACGGCTAGAAATTGTTACAAATTATAAAATAAAAGAAAATCCTGTTGTAAAATATGCAAAACAAAATAAAATTATTGTACATAAATGGCCAGTTGAAATTAATAAATCAGAGTTTCACATTGGAATAGTTGTCTCATTTGGTCATTTAATTCCATCTACAATCATAAATGCATTTCCACTGTAAGTTGTCTTTAATATAGATTAATATTATTTATATATAATTTTAAATTTTTATTAATTAAAATTTAAATTAATTTATAATTTTTATTAAATTAATTAAAATTATTACATATGTTTTCATTAGAGGTATGTTAAATGTACATGGTAGTTTATTACCAAGATGGAGAGGACCAGCTCCAATAATTCATACATTAATTAATGGAGATTTACAAACAGGAGTTACAATAATGAAGATAATGCCAAAAAAGTAAAATTTATTACTATTTAGTTATATAAATTTATTTTTTAAAGTTGTATTATAAAAGTAAAAGAAATAAAATACTTAAGAATAATAGCAAAATAATATTATATTTAAAATATATATATTTCAGATTTGATATAGGAGAAATAGTATTGCAAAAACAAATAAATGTTGATGAACATGAAACAATGCCAAAATTATATACAAAATTAGCAAAGCTTGGAGCAAATCTTTTAAGAGAAACATTTGAAAATTTATTGGAATTATTACAATTTGCAAAACCTCAAGATGAAACTAATATAACATATGGTGAATATATATTTTTTGTTATTAATGAAATATTTATTTGATTATAATGATGCACATGTTATGATATATATTATGATAAATTGATATATTTTTAGCACCAAAAATAACATCAAAAATATCTTTAGTTAATTGGAATGAAATGTCTGCCACAAATGTTTATAACTTACATCGTGCTCTTCTGGGTTTGTATAATTTAACTACATCATTTCAAAATGTAAAAATAAAATTGCTTGATATTCAAAAAATTGAATCAAAAATAATAGCAACAAAACTTAAAGAAGAAAATGCAGGTAAACATAATTCTGTTATATTATATAATAAAATGATTGAAAATGAATAGTTTGTTATTATTATTGAATATATTTTTCAAAACATTTTTAATTTATAGGTGTTGCAATATATAGCAAAAAGAATAATGCATTAATTATAAAATGCAAAGAAAATAGTTTTGTTTCTGTAAAAAAAATAACTGTTCAAGGTAAACAAACTATGAGTGCTCTTGATTTTTATAATGGTTTTATGTCTGGAAAAAATAATACAAAAATATTTTTTATGTAAATTTTGAAAGTTAATGTTGATTTATATTTAACAAATTTTTAATTTATAATATAAAAAAATATTATGAAACCACATCATTATAAACAAATTTATCTGAAATTTTTTTGTAGAAAGTATATTTAAAATCTATATAAATAATTGCAAAATTACATTTTACAAATAATATCAAAGGTAATATAAATACTAAAACATTTTTAAATTGTATAATTTCTTTAATTGTTCTTACCTTTCTAAATATGTAGAATTCTTGATGAATGTAATGTATATATATATATATATATATATATATATATGTATACATATATATATGTATATACAAGAATAAAAAAATATATATATACATATATACATATGTAGAAATAAAAATATAAAATTAAGCAGAATCTATTGAAAATAAATACTGAAAATTTCACAAAACATATACAGAAATCTCAAATTATATATAAAAGTGAAATTTGTAGCATGTATTTTCAAGAGATTTCTACAATTAGAGGAAAAATATTAATTATATTCTATATATTTTACAAAAAAACAATGACATTTGATGTCTTAATTTATTTGAACGTAGAATTATAGCTGCAGACATAAAATTGTTGATATTAAGTCTCAGATTCAGAGGCCTGAAATGAAAGAAATATTTTTACTATTACAGATTCTTTCTTTTATTGAATTAAATTAGCTTCAAGATAATTCCTAGTAACAATTTTAAATCAAAGATAAAAATATCCATAAATAAGTTTTAGTCTAATTTGTTGCTTTGGCTGCTTCAAAATTATACGAAGTGTAGGTGTATTATCCATCTTTTATGAAGAATTGTTCCCATTTTCATATAAAAGTGAGATTTTAAGTTTTTTTTCGTATTAATAACTAATTGCCATTCAATATTTCGTAAATGGAACGTTGCATTTGATTATTCAATAAATAAAGATGGCACAGCTTTTACTGAAAATAATTAGTTAATGTTAGCAACTAGTTATTAATAAGACTGTTTGTTCTATGTTTAAAATTATAGAAAGAATTCATTATTTATATGTATAATATTAAAGTACTTTATATTTTGTCACATTTATGCTATTGATCACACTATTTCTTTTACAAATTAATATAATTTATATAATATTATATATATATTTACAAATTAAGATATATATAAAAATTTAATTTTGTTTTTACTTTTTCTTCTATTTCTTCTTTTGTTTCGACTAATAAAAAGTACCTTAATAACATATTTTGGATTACATTACAATGAACATAGACACTAAAAATAAATTAACTTACACTAGGATCGCAGTCAGCACAATGCCATGAATAGCCTCTTCTTTTAGGTGATTTTTTAACTGGTGGATCAAGACAGGTGAAATGATAGCATTTTTTACATTCATCACACCTAAAAAATTAAAATTAATAAATTCATAAATTCGGAATTTGTTTAAAAAAATAAATATTTAATGTATTTATATGAACTGACATAACGAGATTTTGACTGGTGCCAGGCATATCACAGACATTGCATTGTGTTAAAAGGTCTGTATCTTTTCCTCTTTTTCCGTTTCCCGTAGATGTTCTACTTGTATTATTAGTAGATGCATTTGATGTTACAGGTGTAGTATTTGAAGTCAAAGATGGAACAGATGGAGGTGGTAATTTAGGAAGTGGCGGTGGTGATGTAATTTCTGTACTAGTAGATGTGGCAACAAACATTTGTGGACTTGATTCTGATGCTACATCTCCTTCTGGCCTTGGAATTGGTTTTATCTGTTTAATAAAAAAAAATAAGATATATTTGTACATACATAACATTAAAGTTTATTTATAAATATTTATGTACTTTTATTGTAATTCTCCTATGAATTTCTGGTTGAGATTGTCCTTCAGGATTTTCTACATCAAGACTTTTTCTCTTATGTTTGCGTTTTCTTTGCTTTATACCCGTAATTGGATCAGGAGTATATCTTTTATGTTTCTCTCTAAAAAATATTATATTTTATACTTACATAAAAATATATTTTATCTTTTTCTTTATATTTTATTTTTTTAATATACCTTCTTCTCTTTTTAGCACTTCTTTGTGAAACAGATTCTGTACCATCTGCTGAAGCTACCATATATTCAGGTGAACCTTCCCTGGTTATTGTCATATTATTAATAGGTTGTTGATTGTACACTGGTTCATTTGATTGAATAGGAGTTGAAGATAAAGGTTGTGGTCCAACTGGTTTTATAGTTACCTAAAAAGATTTAGATAATAAAGAACTTATGAATCTAGAAATAAAAAATTGGTTTCTCTTTCTCTACATTATATGTAAAAATATTTACTTTTGGTGTTGTAGGTGTATCAGGTGTAGAAGCATTCGTTATATTATTAAGATTAGTAGAAGAATTTTTTGATGTACTAGGTGTTGTTGGCGTCGTAGGTACTTGTATTTCTTGTGGTGGTGTTGGTGTTGATGTTAGATTTGAATCGTCTTTACAATGTCTTAATTTACGTGGAGCTGAAGTATCTACACGTTCAACTTCTGATCCAGAAGATTCTTTATCACATTCAGAACATTGCCTATATTGAAAAATATAATATAATGTATAATATATAATATATATTATATTATATTATATATATATTATTATTATTATTTTAAATCTAAAATGTAATCAATAAAAAGATTGTATTATTATTTATAAATATACATACCATCCCATAAGTTTTGTTTTCTTAGGCATACGTGATAAAGGTGGACTAAGACAAGATAAATGGTAATGAAGATGACAGGTATCACATTTTGCAAGTAAATGTTGATTTGTAGATCTTCTACATATTCCACATTGGTGCCTTAACGTTAATTCTCCTTTATGATTTTGATCTTGTGCTTGACTGCTTAAAACTCTACCTTCACGTACTCCTTCTGTTCCTTTACCAACTGGTAAAGGAAAACCAACACCCATTTTCAAAGCTGCTGCAGTAGGGACACCTAAACCTGTACCTATTTAAAAATCATGATACTTTTGTTCTTTTTTATATATTTTATATTTAACTTACCTAGAGTTGGTGCTATTCTTGGTTTTGCCAAATCAGTTATTTGTGGTAATGATTTTACATAACCACCACTCTTAAGCACTTGGTGATACATTTCTATTTTTTCTTTTAGTGTTACATTAACTCGAATCTGTTCTTCATTGTCTTTCATTACTTCATCATATCTTCTATCTAATCTTTGTTGTTCATTAAGTAATTGAGAATTAATATCAAGAAGTTCTTGTAATCGTCTTTTCATAGATGTGACTCGTAAATTGCGATCCAAATAATAACCGATAAATTCTACGCTAAAAGCAGGAGGAATATGCCACTTTTTTCTAACATCAACTAAAGCTACAAGTTGTGCTTCTTGAGCTTCTAATGCAGCAGTATCAACACCCATGAGTTCAGCTTTTCTTGCTAGTTGCCGACAAGCAGAAGCTGAAGTAGTTAATAATCGAGGCATTTTTTGTGTTGGTACTACAAATAACATGTATATATATATATATATACATACATATATTATATATATATTTTTTGTGGAATATTTTATATTTAATTAACATACCCCATGGTGGTGGCCTAGAAGCTTTATGAGCTAAATATTTATGTCTATGTTTTGCTAATTTTCTTTGGATTCTACGCTGTTCTTCAGTATCTAAATGATTAGGTTGTTTTAATAATTGTTGTCGATATTGAGCTCGTAATTGTAAAGCTAACCAATTACGTCTACGTCTACGAACAAGTGTTTTATCGGAATGAAGTTTACAATGTGCATAAAATGGATCAGCTTGATCAACTTCTTCACTATGAGCTTCAGATAATAAACCTTCTCTTTGTGCACTGCAATATCATATAAATTATTTTGTATATTTTTTTATGATTGTATTAAATAGTTTAATTATATTTGCAAATAATTCTTACCAAGTAACATGAAAATATGTATGACACATTCCTGCATCACATTCTATACATACACCAGTACGAGCAAAGCGCGCATCTTCGCATAAAGAACATTGTTTTGCTCCCCACTTACTATATGCCATTTCAAAAAGTGTTACACTTGATAAGCGATCAACCTAAAACATATATATATATCTAAAAATATTTTTAGTTTATACTTGACAAAAATTAAAGCTTTACATACTTCTCCAAAAGCAACTCCAGGTACATAAAGTGCACATACTAAATGTACCCATTTGCCTACATCAGTCTCTTTAAAAATTCCACCTTTATTAGGACAAAGTTCACAAGAAGGATCTTCAATGCCTGCACTGCAAGCTTCACAGAACCATGGTGCTGACTGACATAAAGAATCAGTACTTGAAAAGCTTTCTACATCAGATACACCATAACATCCTTAAATAAATTTAATTAAGAAATTGTTTATATTTATTGCTTATCAATGTATATTTGTAAATAATATAAATTATTATTATTATTATTATTATTATTATTATTATTATTATTATTATTATTAAAGTACAAATAATACAAGTACAAATTATTAAAGTAAAATATACAAATACAAAATATTAAAGTATAAATAAATTAAATTTAAATAATAATTAAATTTAGATTAGATACTTAGATAAAGATTAAATAAGATATTTAAAATTTATACCTTCATGTACACTAACACCACATCCATCACATTCAACAATTTCATTAACATCATCGCTTCTATCTCCTAAGCAACCACAACAAATTAACATTTTATTTAATTTATCTTCAAGTGAACTTCCTTTTAATGCTTGTTGTCTAGCTTGTTCAATTACATCTCCTACAGTTAAATTAGGATTTTCTTTTTTAGTTAGTAATGGATCTTCCAAAGAATCATCAGATTGCTCAGACACATCTTCTTCCTCTTCCATATACATTAATAAATTTATATTAGTTAATTTCTAAACATATGTTAATAATATTATATTTAAAAATCACTATTTATATTTTACCTTTTCCTATATCATTAGAATCCACTGAATCATCATCAGATTCACAATGATCTTCAATTCTAAAATCACTGTCATCAGAGCTTTCACCTAAATCAAAATCAAGTAAAGATTGTGCTGATCCTACAGGCTTAACCCTCCTTTTTTTTGGATCTCTCTCAACTAAAAAGAATTGTTGTATATAACTATTTGTTATTTATTTATTAAATGTTTTATCAAAAGGAATAAATACGAGAATAAAAACTTTTCTATCAACAACATACTTAATCCAAGGGATATGCACTCCCAAAAAGGTACAAAAAATTAATTTTAGGTTATGTATGTACTTAATTCACAATAAATACGTACAAATGCTAGTCATATTATTCTTAAAGCAAAACTTTTGCTTAATATCAATGGTAATATTTCATATTTTTCTTTATATAAATTATTTTTTCTTTAAGAATTCTGACACATCCGTATACCGCTATATGTATAATTTTTAAACGCCTCCCACTACATATATATATATATATATATCAAACTCATCAAGTCGTCACTGTAAAATACTGACATACGCGAAAGAATACAACGCCGGTTTTGTGCATTACGATCATTTTATGTGTTCTTTTTTTATTTTGTTTTATTTATTATATTTTAAATAAATTATTATTAAAATATGAAATATTTCTTAAGTTAAAAATAAAAAAATCATATTAAAATTAAAAAAAGATTTATATGTATTAAAATTAATTCATATTTAAGTTGTTGATTTAGTAAAATTATTATTCTAAATGTATTATATATTAATTAAATTTTATATTTATTTATTATTTATTCTAATTATATATATATTCATAAAAAAATATAAATATATAAAATTAAAATATAAATATTTTATGAAATATAAAATGTTTCATTTTTTGAATTAATTTTGTTTGTATTTTAAATTTACATTATTGAAAAAATAGTAATTAAGATTATTTGCAAATTTAAAAAAAAATTTTAAATTTAAAATCTTTCTCACATAATATATTATGAAAAATTATTTATTTTATTTATTATATTCATTTTAACCTACAGCGAAATATCTTAAAATATATTTAATAAAGTTTCTTAACTTACTCATTGTTTTATATAAAAATCCTACATCATCGTCCTGAGACATTCTTGGCACAAGTTTTTTTCACTTTAGTAATATAAAATTTAATAATTTTTTTAAATAGATATATTATTATTAACATATAAAAATTAAAATTTGATAGTGTACATAATAATTATGCATTATCATAATATATATATATTATTTCATATTTATATTTTTGATACTTCGAAGAGAGTATTATTTAACTATTCTAGAAAAATATAAAGAGAGAGAAACTTCCTTCAGTGATATTATCCTTCTGACGCTGTGTTTCTACTCGAATCAGAAACCAATCGCCATATTGAATCCCGAAGTCCTTCAGCGGGAAGTATAATTAATCTACATTTAACTATCATTTATATAAATTATTATTATATTTAATAATTAAATATTAATTTTTTAAATATTTATAAATATTTGTTTATAAAAACAAAATTTTAATTATTTTATTTTTATTTCTTTTTTAATTATATGTATGTACAATATTAATTGATTGTTTAATTAAATTTCCGCAATTTAAATCTAGTAAATTTTTTTTTTATTTATATAAAAAAAATTTATAAAATAATTGAAGTTAAAATGATATGAATTGAATGATACGAATTAATATAATTATATATCAATAATAAGAATTATTTAAACAATATAAAATTATTTAATATAATAAATAAAATATAATATAATAATAAATAAAAAAACTTACAAATAACAAATTTTTCTATTAGTATATCATATCAAACTAGTCATATTCATAACTAATTTAAAACATGATATTAATGTTGATATTTTCTTAAATTTGAATAAACTAAACAGTCTACAGTATTAATGAATTACAGCAATAAAATAATTAATATTACGTTGCGATGCATATTATACTAACTTTTGGATTTTCAATTTCTATAAATAATTCTAATACAGAAGATAAAAATGACAAAAGTATAATTAAAGAAAAGGTTAAAAAGAAAGCAATGCGTGAACATAAAAAAAAGGAAATAAATAAAAATACGAATGAAATTACACAAAATTACACGACTTCAAAAAATATTATACATATAGGTGAAATATTAGCTGAAATACATGTTGAATACGAACTTCTTCCAAATTATAACTTTAAATTTGATTGTCGTTGTTGGGAAACGGCCTCAAAGGTATATCATTAATACATTTTATTTTAAATTCTTTTAAATTTTAATAACAATAACAAAAAAATATCATAAAAATGAATAATATTTCTATCTTTTCTAATATTTTGATTTCGATTTCAATTTTAATAGAAATATTCTTTATGTAAAAATTTCGATAAATATATTATATTTTATAATATATATAATAATATAATATATATAATATATATAATATATTATATAATATATATAATATATATAATATATAAATAGTTTTTTAATTATGTAAAATAATTTTAATGTTTTTTTAAAATAAATTAATAATAACTAATAATAAATAATAAAATAACAAATTTAATTAATATATATCATTAAATTGTTTTTAATATATAAAAATTATATTATAATTAAATTAATTAAATTAAAGAAAAAATTATAAAAATGAAGAAAATTCAATTTATATATATCTTTTATATCATTTCTTTTTATATTTTATTATAATTATTTATAAATCAAGAAATTCATCCATTATCATTTATTTATCATTTATCTATTATGAATATTAAAGTAATATTTGAATATAATTTTTATTTATCTTTATTTTTATAGATTTATACTGAGAATGATGATTTATGTTTAAGACCAATACCATGTCCAATAAAAAAAGATACATATTGGGTCATATTTTCTATTCATCATTTAGTTCATTTAAATGAAATACAATTAAAAAAATATTTTAACTATGTAATCATTTATCATATATTTTATGGAGGACAAAAATTTTCAGAAAGGTAAATTAATTAAATATAACATTTTATTATAAATTTAAATATATATAATATTATTATTATTATATAATATAAAATTATTATTATTTATAGATATAAATTTTAATTCAGTAATTAATTATAATAGTTAAAATATAATATTATTTATATACTATTATAACTTTACATTTTTTGTTATTAAATTATATATATATGTATATATAAAATGTTTCATAATATATTATATATTTCATATATAATATGTTATATATTGTTATTATTTCATTATAAATATATTATATTTTATATATAGATATAAAATTTTAGTTCTCTTATTTATCTTTGCTATATTTTTCGTCTTATAGAGCTAAAAAAGATAAAGTAAAAGGATTTTATATAAATGATAAATCTATTGATATAGGACAAGAACATTTTCTTCAAATATATCCTCTTGATTTTTATAATTCTAATTCTATTGTTGCATCTTCAACATTAACAGTCCCAGAACCTACAATAATTATAGACGAAGTTTACGGTGATTTTAGCATCGTCACATATCTTGATGTGATACCAGGTATTAGAAAAATATGATTTTTATATAAATTTATTCAAGTAAAGAAATGATAATTTATAAAATAATGTATGAATAAAAATTGAAAAAAAAATAATATAAGAATTGAAAAATCCTAATAAAATATTTTACCTAATATATAATTTTATATTATACTGTTGTTAATAAAAATATATGAAAATTTCATTAGATAGTATACATGAATATCTGTTTCGGAAAATGTCGAAAGAAAAACGTTTTCCATCTGAATCTTTAACGTGTGAATTACTTCTTTCATCAGTTGAAAATGAAGAATCATTAATATCAAAGCAGACTAAAAAATCTCTTCAAAAGAATCAAATTAAAAAAAATAAAAAAAAGAAACAGAATCAAGGAACACAGATATACGAGCTACGTTTACCCGCTGAAGTTTTGTTTTCTGGTAAATTGAGAAAAGGATAAGATAGGAAAGATAAATAAAAAAAATAATATAAGATATGAAACAATGAACTCATCAAAATGCTATTTTCTTACTGATTTGAAATTTTTAAACATTTTTTTATGATGACGTATAACAAAAAAGATATAAAAATATGATAGCCGGATCCTGAATATAAAAAAAAAAATATGAAAGAAACTTTTTTAAAAACTTATATTATTATGAATTCAAATAGCATTTTATTAAAACATTTTTTGATATATACATGAATAACAGAAAACATAATTAAAGAAATTTTTTTTATTACATTTCAATGATATCAAAGAAAAATGAAAAAAAATTAATTTATGCTAGCATAATCTGATTACTATCAAAGACAAGATAACACATAATTAAATATTATTATCTCTTTTAGATTTTTTTACGATCATTGAAATTTTTCTGCCATTTATCCATTATAAAATTTTGTTTTTCTTTTATATTATATATTTTTTGTTACAAAATATTTAAAAAAAGTTCCAATATATTTAAAATCCGTAAGAAAGTAGTACTTTCAAATTCAGTAAAAAAATTAAATAATTTTTAATATAAAAAATATAAATAAGAATTGAAAAAAAACACCAATTCCCTGACGGGGAAAAAATCCTGATGCCTATATAACAGATAGAAATATTATTCAATTTTTATTATACAGATTAATATATTTATGAAACATTTTTGTAAGATCGATTCTAGAGCAAAACAAATATAAAAATGATACGTAAAAATATCGGTTAAGCTATATTTATTAAGCAATTGAAGTTTGCACTAAATGAAATGAAATAAAATAGATAGAATAAAACATATAATATAGTAATCTCATTCTATTTACATCTCTCTTTGTCTACCACAAACTTCAATTTTTATAATTCTTATAATTCAACTTTTTATAATTCAATAAATAAGCCTTAATCAGTATAGCTTTGTACACCAACTTTTCTATTTATTTTGATCTCTAAAATCGAGAATCTACATGTTTCAAAGATGTCCCAATTATATATTAACCTTGCGTTTTTGTGTCTATAAATAAATATAAAACATATATAGAATAATAAAACTTGTCATTTAATATAATATCGATTATTAATATAATATATTAATACAATATCGCTTTCATGAATTGAATTGAATGAAATTTTCAATGTATATAATTAATAAAGATCTACAAAATATACCTTTTAATTTTTTTATAATTTTTATTATATATTCAGATAAAACTTTTTTCTTATCATTTCGATCAATTACAACTTCTTCAAATTGTTTTTTTATATATTATAGAATAAACCAATTCTTCTAACTTGTCAAAAAAATTCAAGTTGTTTGATCCAATTATAATTTTCATTTTAAAAAATAGATTTATATTATTTATATGCATTATTATATATGTAAACAATATTACTATAATATTACTAAAACAATATTATTATATAATAAAAGTAAAATAATAACTAAATAATAGTTATTATAATACTACAACTGCATAATAGTAATAGTAAAATAATAATAGAAAAAAATAAAAATATATCTCCCCGTCGGGGAATCGAACCCCGGTCTCCCGCGTGACAGGCGGGGATACTAACCACTATACTAACGAGGATTTTGATGACAATTTTCTCTTTTTATTTCTTAGAGTATATATAATTATATATATTTAAAATTATTTTTATATTAATGATTAATAGTTCATCTATTAATTTTTTTTTACTATGAAATAATAATTACTATACATTATTGAAAAAAATTATTTTTTTTTAGCAATTGCATTTTTTGTTATAATATATTAATTATGAATTACGGTTCTACATATAATTGAATTATATATTATATAGATTGAATTATATGTATTTTATATATTAGATATAATAATACTTAGATATTAAATAATAATTAGATATATAAAAATAAAAAATTTATTTAAAAAATTAAAAAATTTCTTTTATTTTTAACAAAAAAATGATAATATACTTAATTTTTAGATTTTATATTTTTTATATTTTATACTTTTAATTTATAATTTTATTTTAAATACAATTTTTTTGATAATAATTTGATGTTGTTTTAAATTGAAAATGATTGTAATTTCATTTTTAGATATGGGTACAATTACCACTTATAATCGAACATCGTCACTATCAAATATATCATCCGTCTTAATTTATGCACAATGTCAAGATATTTTATCAAATAAACAATTACGCATAAGTTTGAATCCTATATCAATCAAATTGGAACAATTATCTAATTTTCCGGTTGATATAATAACTGAAAATGGTTTCAAATATTTATATATGAAGATTTTTATGGTAGATCGTACAATCGTCACGCCGTATTATGCTCCAAATAGAATAATGTATTTCGAATTTGTTAAATGTTTCCTCTGTGAAGAATTTCAACTGATAGAATTGATTAATTTCCTTACAACAAAATTCCTCACTATTGAAGTAATCTAAATTTTATTTTATATATATCAATCAAATTTAAAAATTATTACGAATTTTAATTAATTATAGATAATTGGTATACGAATTGTTAATGTTATCGAATCAACTTTCACTTCTGAACAACTTAATTATGACAGATCTGTAACACAATCATCAAAAATACTTATGAAGGAAGAAATTTTATTAGGCGTTGTTCAATATGATATATCTGATCTTTTAAGAGGACTTTGGGAAGTGAAATTGACGAATACCTTAATTCATCCTCATAATGTTTTTGCAACTAATTATGATGAAAATGATAAAAAAAGAATGAAACTTTCGTGGAAAAATTCTCCTCTTACTACAGATATTCTTACATCATATAATACATCAATGAAAATTAAAATTCGTTTAGCATATGATTTGCGAGCGTTTCAAAAAAAGATTCTTCGATGTGAAAATATATTGAATCGAATTTTTTTTAATTTGAATGATTTGAAATTGGCTAATGATATTTTAAATGACGTGTTTTTTTATAATTCCAGTTTATTGAACACTTATCAATCTTCAAATTTAAAAGTAATGTTTGAATGCATATTAAAATATAATATGACACTTTTTTTAATTAATTAATATTTTGATTAATAATATGAAATTACAAAAATGCTTTAAAACTTATTTTTAAATATTTATGATATAGGCACAAAATGTAATAAAACACATTTTAACGGGTTTCGTTATTGAAAATTGTGAAAAAATCTACATTTTTCTAGAAGGTTTATCTAATGGATACTTGTTAAAAATTTGGGAAAAGGTAAAGAAGCTTCCTATACAACATAAGTGTATTTATTATAACAGCAATTATATATTTTCTACGCGACTTTATGAAGATTTTATACCTTTTGGTGGAATTGTTCATATTAAATTGAGGTAAAGATAATATACACTTATTTATAAAATTAAAAATTTTTATATTTAAAAAATTTTTTTATTTATTTTTTATTTATTATTTATATTTTTTATAAAGCTTATTTAATTATTCTTTTTTATTTATTTTCATTTAAAAGATATATATTTTACAATTTTCCTATTTTAAGTGAATCTTTGAAGTCGCAACTTCGTACATATAGTTTATATGTTGGTAAAACAAAAACAACAATTCAATCGAATATTATACGAAAATTAGGCATGATGAATCAAACATTAACAATGAAATCTTTATGTCAAACATGTTTATTCCCAAAATCAAATGATGTGAAAGTTTTTATTGATGATATTCGCAAAATATATTTAAAAAATGCAATATAACTTATTAATAGTTGTAAGTTAATGACAATTATTAATAAAAGACTTAAAATTTATTTACAAATTAAGTTGTATAATAATAAGATAGTGCGTATCTATTAGTGATATTTGAAAAAAGATAAATTAAAAAAAAAAGTTTAAAAAAATATCTTAAGAAGATATTATTATATTGAAGAATGATTATCGAATACAAATATTATTCAAACTTAATTTTAGTTTTTAACTATTAAAATATATACACACATATATATGTATTTGAAATAAAATATTTAATAAAATATTTTTACTACAAATATTGCAATTATTGATATCGATTAATTAATAAAAATAAAAAATAACAATGTTAACATACAATTATATTCTTGATATTATATAATATTAAGATAATTATAATAAATTTACAAAATCATATAATTATATCAACATTATATAATTTTAATATAAATTACATCAGATTTTTATTGATTGTATTGAAATATATAACATACAAAGAAAAAAATGTTAAAAGTAAATAATTAAATTTTGTTAAATAATAATGTTTATTTAAATAATAATTAAATTTTTATTTAAATATTTCTTATAATATTCATACGAAGTAAAATATGAATTTATTATTATACATTTTGTTATTATAAAAAAATTGCAAATCCACCTTTAAGTTACTTAAAGCACGTGTTTTTCTTTAACGTATAACCTATATTCACTTCTGATTTTGAACAGATTTTAAGATAAAATTTTGTAAATAATAAAAGAACTAAGTTATATACTTCATTTTTTAGGTAGTGTAAAAATAATTTATATTGAATTATATTGATTATATTATTTTATTTCATATTTTTATAATTTTATAAAATAAGCGTTTTTATTTTCAGATGATGCATATTCAAAAAAGAATTAAGGAAATTCATAGAATACATAGATAATAATTAAACATTCATATTTTATATTGTATATTAATTTATTATTTTATTTATATCAAAGAAAGATATCTCAGTATTATCATTTAGTTCTATAAAGGTATATTAGTCATCAATATAATTCAAAATGATAATATTTTGAATTTAAAAAAATATTATTAAAAATATTATTTATTAAAATTAATTCTTAATATCATTATTATTTATTAAGAATTAATTAATGTTAAATAAATTTTAATGTTTTGATATAACTATTTATTATATATGTAAATTATTAAATATATAAAAATTTTGTATAAAATTTTATGTAAATATTAAATTATTTAATTTATAAAGTATATATATCAATATTATGAAATAAATAAATAACAAATTAGTTTTATAATAGTTTAATATTAAATTTTTTATATTAATTTTTTATATATACATGTCTTATAATTATATTTCATTAAATATGTTCATTAAATTTAGATTAAAATGATATCTCAAATATTTGATGAATCTTCAAAAGAAACACAATTAATTACTTCAAATGATGAATCTCATAATCTTAAAAAAATTAATAAAAATGATACTAATAAAATACAAATGAAAAAACAACTAGGCCTTTTAGAAGGAATTGCAATTATTTTAGGAATTATATGTGGTTCAGGTAAAATTTTGTGATTTATATTCTTTTTATATTTTTCAAAAAAAATTATTTTTGTTTATTATGAAAATATCTGATAATTTTCTGAAATAAATGTTTTTTATTTTTTTCTAATTTTAATTATAAATATAACTATATAATATAACTATAAACTTTTAAAAATATAATAAATAATAATAATAAATTAATTTTAAAATTAATATTATGTAAATATATTATATTCTATAATAATTTTAATATAAATTACATCAGATATTCTATAATAAATTTAATATAAATTACATCATATATATATATTAATAATTATATTATATTCTATAATATATTATTCTCTCTTTTTATATTATATAATTAATTATATTTTTAGGTATTTTTATTTCCCCAAAAGGTGTAATCACAGAAGTAGGAAGTGTTGGAATATCTTTAATTATTTGGATTTTATGTGGTTTACTTTCTATGGTGGGTGCATTATGTTATGCTGAATTGGGTACTTGCATACCTCGTAGTGGTGGAGACTATGCTTATATCTATGAGGCTTTTGGTGATTTACCTGCTTTCTTGTATTTATGGGCTGCTAATTTAATTTTTGTGTAAGTTATTTTTATCATTTGTCATTTGAATATTTAATATTTTAATTACATTTATACTATTTTTTAAAATGATTATTATAATATATTTATTATAATATTATTATAATAAATAATATATAAAATGATTATTATTTTTTGATTTTTAGACCAACTACAAATGCTATCATGGGATTAACTTTTGCTGAGTATGTTTTACAACCATTTTTCCCAAATTGTTCTATTCCAGATAGTAGTGTACGTTTATTGGCAGCAGTTACTATTTGTAAGATATTTTTTTTTTTGCATATAAAATTATTTTTATTCTTAATATTTTTCTATTTCATTAAAATTTTATTCGTTCTTTTATATAATCATAAATATTTTCACAAATAAAAAATAGTTTTAAAAAATTAAAAATTTTACTAAATCTTTAATTCTATTTTTCTTTAATTTGATTTATTATTATTATATTAATTTTATTTATTTAATTTTTTTATTATTATTTCTATAATTTTAATCTTTTAATAGGTTTACTTACATTTATAAATTGCTATGATGTCAAAGATACATCTAAAATGCAAAATGTATTCATGTTTGCCAAAGTTGGTGCATTACTAATTATAATTATCACTGGATTAGTTTGGCTAATGTTAGGTAAGTATAATTTAATATATTCATATAATATATTTACATATTCATATTAAATCATATCTTATATATATATATAATTTATTTGGAAAAAGATTACAAAGAGAGAAAAAAGAAGATGGAGAGAATATATTTATAACAATATATGTAAGATTAAGATTATATAAGTACATTAATATATTATATAAGTGCATTATATAATATATTTTCACTTCTCTTATTTAAATAATTTTCATTTCAAGCATTTTTTCTGAAAATGAATAACTTCCTACATTTTTTTGCATTCTTTAAAAATTAAAAGTTTTTACAATTATCTTTTTAGTCTCTCTAGATATACATTTTTTAAAATACAATCATTCAAAATTTGCATTCTGATTTAAACATATCATCATTTGAATATTTAACACATTTATAATATATATATATATCCATGTATATAAATTTATAGTCATTTTTCAAGTATTTAATCATTTATTTCAGGACATACAGAAAATTTTGAAAATGTATTTGAAAATACAATTACGGATCCTGGTAAAATTGCAGTTGCCTTCTATTCTGGTATATTTTCATATTCTGGATGGAATTATTTAAATTTTATGACCGAAGAATTAAAGAATCCTTATGTGTATGTAATATAAAATAATATGTGATTAAATTTTTTTTTTATTTTTAATATTAAATAAGTAATATTGTTTTATAGAAATTTACCACGAGCTATATATATATCATTACCTTTAATTACTCTTATTTATGTATTGGCAAATGTAGCATATTTATCAGTTTTAACACCAACTGCGATGATTGCTTCTCGTGCAATTGCTGTGGTTAGTATTATTTTTTACATATGGATCTTATTTAAAAAAATTTATTATAAATATCTTTTACTAATATATATTTATTAAAAATATAAGATAAATTTTTATTAGACTTTTGGTGATCAACTTCTTGGTATGATGGCATGGACGATACCCGTTATGGTAGCTATATCTGCATTTGGAGGATTAAGTGTTCACATTATGACATCATCTAGAATGTGTTTTGTTGGTGCCAGAAATGGACATTTTCCTTCCATGTTAAGTCATATTAATATTTCAAGATTTACACCCACTCCTGCTTTGATTTTTCTTGTACATATATGTATAAAATTTATTATACAAGATATTTGGACAAAATAAATAAATTTAAGAGATAATTCTAAAGATTAGAATAAGAAATAAACAAAAGTTGCGAGATGTACAAAAATATTTATTAAAGTTAATTTTTAAAATTATAAGCAATTTAATTTTATATTAGTGAAACGTTTTTATCTCATTTATAAAGATTATATTTAAAAAATTAACTTTAGAAGATATTTTTGAATACACATATTATGTTTGTTTTAGTAGAAATCTTTGGATTAATTTTTAGAATTATATTTTAAATTTTCTATTTTTTCTAAATACACTATATAATATTAATTTCCAAAATAATGTTTATTTGAATTTAAATATTTTTTTTTCATTTTCAGTGTATGTTGTCTTTAATAATGTTATGCACAAGTGATATTTTTGTATTGATTACATATTGCAGTATAGTTGAATCATTTTTCATAATGCTATCAGTAGCTGGTGTTTTATGGCTTCGTTATAAACAACCCAATATGAATCGACCAATTAAAGTAAATAAAATTTATTATATTATTATATAATATTATAAATATATTATTTTAAAATATACTATAAGTTTAGAATTTTTTTATTAAAATTATAAATATATTTTATAGATGCCTTTATGGATTCCTATTACATTTGTGGCTATATGTGCATTTTTAGTATTTGTTCCTTGCTATCAAAGGCCATATGAAGTTGGAATTGGTGCTTTAATAACTTTATCTGGAATTCCAGCTTATTTTATAGGTGTTAAATGGAAAAATAGACCATTATGGTTTCAACAATTTAATCGTATGTAATATCTATATATTTTTATTATGTCTTTAATTTTTTTTTAACAATTTTATGATCTTTATTACAGTCAAAATTACTTATACCGTGCAAAAATTATTTTTATCTGCCATAGAGGAACGGGATTATTAATTTACATAATATAAATATAAAAAAATTAAAATTATTTTAAATTTTACTTTGCTATTATTTATGTATGATATGATCTATTCACATTGGTAACACCAAAAAAGACTTGATTGAAAACAAAAATTTATAATGTATATTATAAAATTAAAAGAATATGAAGTTTGCTCTCTAGGTTATAAAATTAAATATTTATAATTATCAATTATTATTTATTTTAATTATTGTTATAGTTATATTATTTTATACTTTAATTTATTATATAGAATTCATTAATTTCTTATATTAGAATAATTTTGATTTTCTAATTGCACATAAATTTTACTACAAAGTTATATATATTATTATTTAAAATTCAAAATTTTTTTTTATAATTATTAATAATTATTAATATTTTCTATTTGCATATATTACATTAAAATAAAAATAAATAATCATTATTTGTTTATTAAAAAATTTGAATAATTTTGTTAAAATTGATATTGTTAATTAATAATATTAAGAATAATAATATTAATATAATTATTTTTATAAATTAATTATTATAATATATATATAAAATATATATATTATAGTAAAATGAAGATATGTATTGAAATTCTATACAAAAATATATAAAGTAATAAGAATAGAATGATTTCATATTTATAATGTATAATAATTTTTGTGATGTGGAATTAATGTATAAAAAAAATTTTATCAAAATTTTTCTAAAATTGTAATATAATTTGTAATATAATAATTTATAAAGCAAATTATATATGAGTAAATTCTAAAATCATTTTCTGTTAATTAAAATTAATCAAAAATAATAGAATAATAAAACTTTTTATTTATTAAATAATAGAATATATATTCAAATGTATTTTATTTTCGTAATCTACATCTAATCTACATTATTTATTTTTATCTATTTATATATAAAAATAGATAAAATATATAAATTACATTGTATGATATTAAATTTATTAATAAATGATATAATTCTCAATTTTTCATTGCATATACTAATAAAAGAATTATTTTTATTGGAATGAATTACATATTAATATACATGTGTGTGTGTGTGTGTGTATCCAATCAAATTTTATATAATAAAATATGTTAAGAATAAGTTTCTTTTATTTAACATTGAATTAAATAACATCATGTAATATTATAGTACAAGATTTATATATTTATATTTTATAAATTGAAAATTGGTAAATTTTTTAAATGTAACATAATAAGATACATTTTTATATTTTTTTCTACATAAGTTGTATTACATAAAAAGATTAACAAATAAATTTATATCTAAAGATATAAATTTTTGTTTTTTATTTTTAGATTAATGTATATCTTCAGGATTAAACATTCCCTGTAAAATAAAATTATATATAATATTTAATTAATTAATTAATTAAATAAAATTAATAATTAATTAGTTAATTAAATATTTAATTATAAAACAATGTAAGAAATAAATATATATGATTTTTAACATATTACTTATAAATAAAAACACTATAATATTTCTTGGAAGAATAATACAATTATCATTATCTACTTTGCAAATATAATTATAAATAATATATCTTACCTTAGCACGCCTTAAAATAGAATCTTTAGTAGCATCATATGGATGATCTTTACTTGGAATTTCTAATACTGATGGTATTGGTTGTGTGTGACTATCAATTACATGACGGATCATTTCAGCAACCTTAAATATTTTTACAAACATATTAACATAATCATGTTAATTGTTATTATTTAATTAAATAAAAATTATTTAATTAAATTATTATAATTTAATTATTTAATTATTATATAATTATTAATTTTTAATTTTAGAAAAATTATTTAATTAATTAATTATAAATTTTTGATTAATTATAAATATTTTGAAAAAATAAATTTCATTTTTTACTATTAAAATATACTATTGAAAATAAAAACAATAAAAATTTTTTTTTAGGAATATAAATAAAAATAATAAATTATATATGTAAAATATATAAATATTAATAATTTTATTAATATAAATACTTACATTTTGATTGATAAGTATAATATCAATATCATCTCGTTTAATAAAACGTTTAAATGTATCTTCTATATCACTTACAGCTGTATCTGTAAAATATAAATAAATATATGATAATTTTATATATTTTTAAATTTAAAAATATTTTTAAATAATATCAATGAATTATTCATTAAATATTCGATTATCGATTACCAATATAATTCAATTTTTTAAAAAACTTTTTTTTGCAAAAAAAGTTTGACTTACTTTTATCTACAACCATAAAATTAGGTTGACGATGTTTATTAATCTCGCCAACTCCTCCCAAGAGAAATCCTACACAAGTATCCTAAAATGAAACTTTTATAAATGTGTTTTGAATAAAATAAATTTATATATATTAATATATTAATACATAATAATATTAATACATATATAATTTATAATTCAATCACCTCGTCTCCTATCACAGCAAGAAGTTTACCTTTCCCCGCGGAATGAAGAGCCATTATTATAAAAAGTCAAAAATAATAGAGCAAATTTAAAAAAAGAATTATTAATTTAATAATTCTTGATAATATATCAGCTGACAAGTCACACCTACGTACATAAACTATTTGAACATCACGTGCTAAACTTGTCCAATTAAAACAGTATAATAACAGAGGATAGGGAATTAAGTTTAAAAACAGCAAATTCTAAAATAGATTGATGTATTATCTACAATATAGTAGATATCTATCAATTCTTTATCTCCTTCTAATATTATCGATCGAGAAAAGATGCAATGATATAGATGGTATACATTATAATATAATATAGATGGTATACATTAAGAAATAATTTCAAAACGTGCTATATAAGATTTCGTTTTACATATATCGAATTTTTCATTTGTTAAGCTGAATTTTTATTGAAATGATTATTTTTAATAATTTTATACATTAATTATTAGGTTAAAATATTTATTATTATATATTATAATGAGCTAAAATTTATTTAAAAAAAATCATTCTAAATATATAACAATTTAAGATAGTCTTCTATGTACATAAACGTGCGTAACGCATAATGTAAGGTTATGTTTCTATATGTGTTAGAAGATAAATTCTCATATATATATTTGATATTAATTATATATATATATATATATATATATATATATATATATATACATATATATATAAATTGGAAAACGAAAATTTGTGTTAGAGTTTTATGCATTATTCATTATGTTAATATGTAAAAATATAAAAATAAGTGATTAAAAATATTTCTCAAAATTTAATAATAGTTGTTGTGAATTATCATTATTAATTATTATTTAGGTTATTATGTTATGGAATTTAAACGTCATTAATGATTGTATACATATTTTCATTATTGAACATAATTATAAATATGAAAACTCATAGTATATATATTGATTTGTGTTAAATGTAAAAAGAAGTGTGCATCTAATTATCATTTGCTATTAATAAAATCTTTATCTTGTAAGTCATAATTATTACTATGAGTATAACCCTAAGTAAATAATTGCATTGATATTTTATATGTTTTCGTGCATATGAAATAACTTTTATAATATTCCATTATTAATTAATTAATACACAAATATAGTTTTTAACATATATTTTTAATTTTGTTTTTTAGGAATTATATTTTATTAATATAGATATTTCATGACTGAAGTAATATAATTATTAGTGATTATATAGAGTAACACAAAAAAAATGTCATTTGTGAATGATATTAATATTTATAAAAAGATGGTTTCTGAAGACGTACAAAAATCATGTACAATAAATGAAACTGCAACAGAATTTATGGTTTTACCTAAATATGAACACACAGAGGAAACACTAGTAATAAAATAATTAATATTTTGATATATATATATATATTTAAAATTCATATTATATCAATTATATTTTTAATTTATTTTAATTTTTTTTATTAATTAAAAATATCATATATAGGTTGTTGGTGAAGAAATAATTGTAGATGAAAATATAAATCAAAAAATTTCAGAAGAGGTTATTTGTAAACAGAAAAATACTTCTAAATATTTTGAAGAAAGTATAGATACAACAATGTCTGTAAAATATACAGAAGATTCTATACCATTATCTACATTAGATACATCCAGACGGAAATGGATTGCTAATGACATCAATAAAGAAGATTTATTGGTAAATATTACTAATGATTATATTATTAAATATTATTATTATTATTAAATGTTTAAAATTATATTAAAAGAAATTATAATATATCAAAATGATAAAAATATTTTTTTATGTTACTATATTATAATTTATATTATAATTTATATATCTTAAATTTAAAAACAATTATAAAAATGAATATTATATCTTTTATTGTATATATATTAATATAATATGATAGTTATCAGAATCAGAAGAAAGTGAAACTGAAATGTATATTAAAGTAATAAATGATGATCAAGATGGAGATGAAGAAACAATAGCTACATTTGTAACTGCTGCTGGTCAACAATTAGCATTGTATGCAGTTGAAGATTCAGAAGAAATTTTTGCTGTAGCAGTTTATGATGAATCTGGTGAACCTCCAACAAATTTTCAATTTCTAATGAAGTATATATATTTATTCATTCATTATATATTCCATTGATAATATACATGTAATTCAATAATATTGATAATTGTATACAATACAAATAATAAAATAATCTTATTTACAGAGCGGATGTTGAAAGATTAATAGGTGAAGGTGCAGTTAGAACTGTCAAAAAACCAACACAGATAAGAAAACATTTATTAACTACTCAATCGCCAATATTTTTTCCTAAAAATGAATCAACAGATGATATATTAATGGATAATGAAAATAAAATCATAATAAATGAAAATGGAAAAATTAAAAAAAGAAAAGATATATTGGAAGAAAATTCAACTTTAATGAAAGATTCTAATTTAAATCTACATAAAAAACGAGTTCCTAATATTATATATACAAATGAAAAGCAATCAGATGTAACATATTTAATGATGGGTGATTGTTCTGTAAATATAGGTATGTATTTAAAAATTATAATTATTTTTATATGAGATTATATTTTATTACAGTAAAACTTCAAATATTATAAAAGCATATAAATTTAATAGATAATTCTGAAGAGTGTCAAGATGATGATAAAAATGATGGTGAATTTATACAACAATCAACTGTACAATATATCTTATTTGAAGGTGATCAATCTGATTCAGAATTAACATTTGATGAGATTCATGAAACTCTTCAAAATTTGAAATCAAATGCAATGAAAAAGCAAGTAAATAAAAAAATCATTAGAGATCAAAATAATATTGGAGATATTAAAGGAACTGAATATGAAACTTCTATGTATCAAAATTCTAATGGATCTAATAGAATATCTAATAATTTAACAAAAAGAAAATTAAATTTATTAGATAACCAACAAGAATTATTAGAAACATTAACAGATTCACCAACAGATTTAATATCGTGTAGTACAAATTTAGATATATCAAATGGTTCCATTGAATATACATCACCTGAATCGTCACAAATACAGTATAAAACTAAGCGATCTCGAAAGCAACAATTGATTTCTGTAAATCGTGAAGATTCGGAAATTATCATACAACCAGCATCTCTTTTAACTGAAGAAGACAATAATATTAGAAAAAGAGTAAAACGAAGCAGAAGAGTTGTAGCTCATCCTGGTTATCATCAAAGAAATAATGACTCAAAAAGAATGAAAAAAATTAAACGAAAAGAAGTGGAAATTATTGAAATTGATATTGATGAAGAAGAAAATATTCTACAATCACAACAAGATGTTGTTGAAATAACTATAGATGATAGTAAAGATAAATATTCTAGTGATAAAGAAAATGAAATTATTATGGTTGGAGATTCCGATGATGAATCACAACAGTCAAATTCAAAAACAATTTTATTACAATGTCAACATTGTTCAAGAAATTTTAGACAACAAAGAGCTCTAGAAACACATTTGCGAGTTTGTTCAAAATCACCAGCTAATACCATACGATTTAATGAACAAAATTTAAAACAAGAAAATGAAACAATTGAAAATACTATTAAAAAACAATATGCTTGTAAAATATGTCAACAAAAATTCGATGTAGTAGTAGCATTAGCACGTCATGTACGTTCAGAACATTCTCAAAGAAAAAAACGTAGGTTCAGTAAATTATCAGTTGAACGATCAACTGAAATTAAAGAAAAGAAAGAACATACTGAACCAAAAAAACAAATGAGTATAATTAAAAGAATTAAAAAAAAAAGGAATCAACGACCAAATTATACATGGGAAGTAAAAAAATTAAGCTGTTCTGATTGCGGTAGATGGTTTCCTAGTACTGCCTTATTAAGAGCACATTGTTTACAACATGGTACAAAAAAATCTGGTAAGATTTTAAATCTTAATGTAATTATAATAATTGTTTAATATATATAATAATTCTATATATAGAATCATTCTTAAATTATTCTTATTTTAAATTAATAATATTTTTATATAATTATAAATATGAAAAATAATTGAAAAATATTTTCTTATAGAACAACAAATTCGCAGATGTCAAATATGTAAGAAAATAATTAGATCTAGATTACTTTTTGTACAACATTTGAAAAAACATAGAAATTTACAAAAAAATACAAAATCTGTATCAAATATTCAAAAAAAGTTACATACTACCAGGTCAGTGACAAGTAAAATTACAACGCTCAGAAAACGGGGGCGCTCACGAAAATTTTGATCTCTTCAGATATCAAAATGTAAAACTTATAAAAATTGGTGATATATGACAAATATTATTTCTTCTAATGTGAAATATGTATAATATAATGTTCTTACTTCCAATAAAAATTGGAGATATTTATATGTTTGATGAAGAAATATCTTTAAATTGCAAATGATAGTAGGTATCTAGTTAAAAATGTATATATTACTTAGATATACTATGTATATTATGTCATTTAAGTTTATATCATACAAGTACATTTGCAGCTTAAATTAATTGAAAGACTGACTTCTTTCATTCTTTGATAACTTTTAAAAAAATCAAGTGCCGAAAATTAATTAAATTTAAAAAAAAAATTTGTCATGTTTAATAAAATATTTAAAATAAATTATATAAGTCAGTCTTTATTATTATATAAATTTCACTGATGATCATTGATACTTACTTAATAATATTATTGATTATTGTAAATAAAGTGATTACATTAAAATATGTATATATTTATTGAAATATTTTCTTTTCATATATACTAATTATTCCAATTACTTTTTAATTAAATTTAAATTAATATAAATAATTTTTTTTTTTTTTGATTTCATAAATTATTATTTATTAATTAAATTCTAAAATGTACATAAAATAAACTCAATATATTTTAAATTTTGAAATATACCAAAAAAATTATAGTTAAAAAAACTTATAAATTTACATTTATATAATATACAATATATAAAAATATATACATATATGTATATAAATTTCATTACATTTAATATGTACATTATTAGTTTAATGCTTCGATATTTGCATTATATTTTTGAATATACAAAAAATAAATGCAAAAATGCTTAAAAATTTACAATT